GATGAGTTTGTTAACTTCGGTTTCAATCAAGGGAACCAAGTCTGGCCTAAAACGCCTTTGAGCTTGTTTAACAGGACGAGCACCATTTTTGACTGCAAGGTGATGGACTGCTACTTTCGGGTCCAAGCCAGGTATCTCTTTGTAACTCCAGGAAAATACATCCCTGAACTCTTTGAGTAATTCAATATAAGTGCTCTCTTCATCAGCTTCAAGTAAAGCACTTAGGTAGGTGGGTCTTGGTTCTTCATCGGTGCCAAGGTTAACTTCTCTTAAGGCATCAACTATCGTCTTCACTTCTTCTTCAAGTTCAGGTGGAGCATCTTTCGCATCTTCATCTTCTTGAGGTTCCCCATCATTGAAGGATATGTGATAACATGGCGAAATATCCTCTAATTCCGCATTATCTTCCATTGAAAATGGAATGCCATTCTTGATTTGTCCAGTAACAAGATACGAAGAACCTACACTTTATTCGTCTTCATCACGTTCCTTAGTATAGACCACAGTATGTGGCTTTACCTTCAGTACTTCTTTACATGAAACCACAAGTTTTGTTTGTTGCCTCATTTTAGAAGGAACCAGACTTTGGAAATCCTTAGAGATCTCCTGGATTTTGGGTGAAGCGGGTGTTCTTATGCTTTGAAAATTTCTCCGGAACTTGTTCCCCTTCTTTAGTGGACCCAATCTTTCAAACATGGAGGTCCTCACAGGTGATTTTCTAAGTTGATCAAAGACAAAAGGCTTGTTAGAAGCGGTTGATTCATCTTCTACAGTGATATAATTGTTGCTCGCCCTTCTTATTGAGATGCGCACTGGTGACGGTTGCTTGTATCCCAAACCTTCACGTGGTTGCCTTATTGCAACTTCCGATGGGAGCTTCCCTAACTTTGACGGCTCATTGGGATCGTATCTAGCTTTTCCAAATAGCTTGTAAGCGTTAGGATCAAAACCTTCATCTGTTCATTTTGTAGGGAGTGCCACATTCTACAAACGATTTTGGGCTACAAACCCTGTAAGTGGAATTGAGGACGACTTTACTGCCTCAATCCGTTTGACAGGAAGAGTTAACTCCTTTAGCATGTTGTCTTGGAGATTAGATGATTCACTTTCATCTTTCTTCCTTTTAGGGATATATTGGAGTGTCGGACTTACTTTCTTGCCATAAGACGTAACATTCCTTCTATAAAACTTATTCGCGTTGGATTGTACCTCCTTACTAGCAACTTTGGCTTCACCAGTAGTCACCTCTTCTATTTTAGTTGAGGGCTCTTTATTCTTGCTTTTCATGCCATCATCAGCTTTCAGCTCCTTCACAATACGGTTCTTCAAGTAGAACTTTGCATCGGCGAAGTGTGACTCAGCCTCGGTGAATGGCTCATCATCAGCAACTACCGTCTTCTCGATTTCACCCTCGTAGTATTTTAAACATTGATGGTAGGTAGATGGAACTACTTTATTCTCATGTATCCAAGGCCTCCCAAGCAAAACATTGTATGAAGTCTTCGCGTCGATCATATGCAGCCATGCACTTGATTGCATATCTTCAATAGTGATTCCCAGCCTGATGGCGCCTATGGCTCTTTTCCCCCCTTGGTTGAATCCTTGTATCATCACACGACTTTCTGAGAGTTCGTTCATGGGAATACCAAATTCTTTCACAATGTGGATTGGCAAAATGTTCACTGAGGATCCTCCATCAACCAAAATCCGATTTACCCTTTCATTGCTCATATAGCTAACCAGGTACAATGGGCGGTTATGAGGAGTGCCACCTAGCAAAAGATCATCATTTATGAACGTGACCTTTTCCTCACAAGCATTAAATTCTTGAGGAGTGGACTCGATGGGCTTTTCCGAAGATGATGCCAACGGTAGGTCATCACTCTTTTCTTCCCCTTTGTCAGCATGGCAACAAGAGGCATCAATGCCCTCATGGGAAATCTTCGTGCGGAACCAACTTGGTAAAAACCCCTCCAAGGTCACTGGATTTCGTGGCTTTTGAGAATGGTGCATCTCCACTTTTGCTTTCTTCAAATGCCTAACTGAATTCTTTTTCGTTGGTCTTTTTACCATTATCTTCCTTGTTAGTTGTTCTATTGATTCTTTTTGTGGGCTCCTTTTGTGGTGCCTACGACGAGTCACCAATGTCCAACCTTCATCATCATCAGGTTGATTGACTTCATCTTTGTCGCTCTCCAGTAATTCTTCATATTTACTTTCTTTAAAACCACATAAGTCATCCGGACTGAATGAGCCAAAGGTGATAGAGACTTGGTTTGCGCTTGCTTTCTCATCTTCAAGCACGATCTTCTTTTCGCGAGCCAAATCCATGACTTTATCCTTGAAGACAAAGCACTTCTCCAGAGTGTGGCTTACAAGTCGGTGATATTTGCAGTAGTTTGGGTCATTTGTTTTCCCATCTTCATTTGGTCGCTTCATCTCCGGAAGCTCAATGAGATTTAACTCTAGGAGTTCTTCGAAAATGGCTGGCACATCAGAATCCAGGAATGGGTAATCTTTTTCCTGCATTTCTTTTAGAGTCAACTTTCCACTTGGCTTGTCTTGAAAAGAAGTGGATTTCATACTCTGCTTCTTGCTCACCTTTGTCATAAATTTCATAGGTGACGTATTGACATTCATAGCTTCTTTGCTTTCAGACTTGGGTACGAACTTGCCCCATTTCCTGATTTATTGCTTGTCATTCGCTTTGCGAGGTTCATAGATGGGTAGCCTTTCATTTCCAGCGGAGGCCATGCTCAATTCCATGTCATGGGCACGAGTTGCAAGTTCTTCAAATGTGCTAGGCTTGATACCTTGCAAGATGTAGCGCAATCCCCAATGCATGCCTTGGATGCACATCTCTATGCCTGAAGCTTCACTAAGCTTGTCTTTGCAGTTGAGGCTTGCATTCCTCCCATGATTGATAAAGTCGATAATCGGTTCCCCCTTTCATTGACGAGTATTTGTAAGCTCTATCATACTTACTGTGCGTCTTGTGCTATAAAAGAGATTGAGGAATTCTTGCTCTAGTTGATCCCAGTTATCGAAAGAGATCCAGCCTCGAGGTCTGTGTACCAGTCAAAAGCATTTCCTTTTAGCGAGCGGACAAACTTCTTGATGAGGTAATCTCCATAAGTCCCAGCATTGTTGCACGTTTTCACGATGTGTGCAACATGTTGTTTTGGGTTACATTTACCGTCAAACTGTTGAAACTTTGAAGGCTGATAGCCAGCAGGCATTTTCAACATATCGACCCTTGCAGTGTACGTCTTTGCATATGTAAGGGAGGATTTGGCAGCAACTTCATATTTGTTCTTAATGGTTCCTTCGATGAACTCCTTCAGTTGATCGATTGGAATCATCCCTTCAGATGAGACAGGGATAGCCTTAGTGGATGCTGCTTGTCTTGGTGGAGAGTCACTCTCTAGAACTTCTGGGAGCTTGCCGGGTGCATGGGTAGATTCTTCTTCCATCAAGATTTCCACCCTGTCCGTTAGCTTGTCAATTATAGCCTCTTGATTTTGCATGCATTTGGTCAAGCCAGTGATTGCTTCCGTCAAGTTTGCCAACTGCTCCTCCATAGATGAAGTGTTTGTCACCATGGCTTGCATGATTGTCGTGGATGACGGAGAGTAGCATGGATTTTCACACAGATTGATCCTTGATTGGCTCACGCTATGTGGTGTAAGTGGGGAGGATCCATCGCTTGAAGCATCATCATCTTCCTTCACAGCAGAGTGCTTGGAGCCGGAGAGGTCAAGCAGAGCAAGAGTTTTCTTGATCTTTTCAGCAACATCGCTTCCTCCTTCAGATGCGTTTGTGGAAGATCTTGCTCCTTTTGAGGATGAAGATCCAAAAACAGGGGTTGATGCGGACAACTCTTGGGGTGTTTGTTGTCCTAAAGATCTTGCTTTGCTCCTCGTAACTGGTCCAAAACTTCCAAAGGTAACATCGAGGATGCTTTCCACATCAGCATAGAACCTGGAGTTAGCAGCCTTGGTGGAAGTTGAACCGGAGATGATTTTCTTTGAAGCCATTTCAATGTTCTTGAACTTTGGTGATTGAAAGGTTGAGATGAGATGTAGAGATTGTCCCACTGGGCGTGCCAGAATTTGTAGACAATAAATTTGATTCGAGAAAATAAAATCAAGACCACAAAATATCGCAACAATCGTAGTATTTTATTTCGAATATTTTAGTGTTACAATCCCTATGAATCCTCTGATTCTTCCTTTCAATGGTAAATAAATTCAAGGGCCTTTGAGCTTGATCTTGAATATGTATTTGTTGCCTCGAAAGATGATCTTGCTCTTGAGCTTTAGCTTTATTGCTTGAACTTGACCTTGATTTGTTCTTCGTTCTTGAACTTGCACTTGATTTCTTGAACTTGAACTTGAAGCCTGAAACTTGTGGAGGAATTTGCAGCGTTTGATCCACGAACTCCTTCTCACTTCTTGTTATAACTTCTCGTGTCTTTTCTGAGTTATGAACACCCCTATTTATAGTTGTGGAAGGGAGGAGTTGTGATAAGAACAAACTCTTTCCGACCAATCAAATTGAAGTGTGACATGACTGCATTTGATTGGCCAGAACATGTCACTTGCACATGTGGCACGATTTCATTGGTCTTTTAGTGTGACTGGGCATGCCTTGTCATTTTGACACATGGCACGATCCTATTGGCTCTTTCGTTTGACTTGGCGTGCCACGTCATTTGACTCGTGGCACCAAACTGGGCCTCTAGAAGAGATGGCATTTTGGGCTTGATGAAGTGGGCTCATCACTCNTATATATAATTTTATACACCTTTTCGGCTATCAGATGTAAATAGTTTCTAGCGTGAGCTAAAAATGATAATACCCCTAAACCAGCACCTCAATCATAATTTAATCGGTCCACAGTATTAATCACAAAATATTATAAATATATTCTGCAAACTATATTTATGTTTTTATTTTATTTTTTAAGTTACTGAGAAAGGAAATAAGTCTGTCATTATTTTCTAAAGCAAGACAGAAAAGGAATGAGCCTTATCTAGTAAACCTGCGGCTGCATGTAGTTTTCATTACTACCAACATTTCTAGCAGTTTTAATTAGCAATTACTTCAATTTTTCCAAGTTCACTTCTTATTTTCTTATCAAAATTGTTTCATTAACTAAATTCAATTCTCTTAATGGCAAATTCTCTGTGTTTAACACCTTTAGCTTCCTTCAACTCTGTCAATAAACCAGGTAATTTCCAGTTTCTATTTATTTTTGTTCTTTTTATGTCTTTTTGCATAATGGGTATTTATGCTTGCTTCTTTTAGTTTGATTTTTTACACTATTGGTTTATACCCTTTTTTGGGGTTAATTTCACTTGTGTTTACTTTACTTTACCCTCTATAATAGTCTAGTAACAAAAATATATTTAGTCATATTTTTTATATTTCTTTTGGAACCCAGGAAAACCCGCAGCCGCTACACCCTTCGAGTGAGCATTCTGTGCGTACTGGGTAAATTACTATTGTGTAATAGCGTGCAAACGACACAGGGATGTAAACCGCACTAGGCAAACCTTGTGCGACAAGCTCGACCCAAAAGACATTGAGGGGGATCGATCCTAGGTCATCTGTATGGATGACTGCCCTCTAAACCAACTGGACAATCTCCAAACCAACTATTTAATAGTCATATTAAAGAAGCTGAACTTAATTATTTAGTCATATTAAAGAAGCTGAACTTAATTATTTAGTGGGTAAAGTTTAGTTATTTAACGTGACAAAAAGAATTGGGACTAAAATAATATAATGGGTATTCACTAACCGTGATAATGGTTAAAATGTAACAAAAGAATTTGCAATTTTATTGTTATAGTGGATAAATTTCAGTGACCATACACAAATTTTGTCACTATACTTTGTGTTTGTGTTTGGTTTTAAGGATTCAATTTTTGGTGCAACCTTTTATGTAATAATTGAAGTTTTTATATTCTTGACAGGTCTAATTAATGGGAATTGCACTGGAAGAAATATTCAATGGATTAAAGATGTTATCTACAGCTCCAAGAGTTCCTTAAGAGTTTTGGAAGTGAAGGTAAATTTTGGACTTCTATGGATAAATATTTTTGCATATTGTAGTTAAATGTGCTCTATCAATATGCAATTCCCACATTTTTTTTCACTTTTATGCCTAGTCACTGCGAGCGAAGGGAGCCTTGGCATAACTGTTAAAGTTGCTTCCATGTGACTAGGAGGTCACGGGTTCGAGCTGTAGAAACAGTCTCTTGCAGAAATGCAGGGTAAGGTTGCGAATAATAGACCCTTGTGGTCCGGCCCTTCCCCGACTCCGTGTATAGCGGGACCTTAGTACATCGGGTTGCCTTTTTTCTTTTTTCTTTTTTGCCTAGTCACTGAGGGCTATTACAAATCCAGTATGCCTTTAGACATATATAACTCAATTGTGAAGGTTATATGACAACTAGGTAGGTAGAAAAAAGAGCAGCTTGGTACACTAAGCTCCCGTTATGCGGGGAGTTTGGGAAAGGACCAGACCACATAGGGTCCTATGTGCAGAGACTAACCTGGCATTTCTGAAAGAGACTATTTCCGCTGCTTGAATCCGTTACCTCCAGTCACACAGCGGCAACTAGGTAGGTACACTTAGGAAATTTGCTAGGATATTGTTGTATATATGATATATGGCAGAGTGAACTTCATCTTGGAAGCTCACTGCTTTTGTAACTATTATTCCATCTATTCTTGGGGGAATCCTCCATCTTGTTTCCACTTTTCTAATGGTAAATTTCAGTTTCGAGTTTAGGGTTTAAAAAAAACCCCTTTAGGGGCTAAACTAGAAGGTTTTGCTTGCCTCTTATTTGTGTCGTGTTCTCACTTTTGGATATTCTATTTTGATTGAATCTCTGAATTTTCTCTAATTTTTCTTGATTTTGTTAACATCCCGATTCTCTAAATCGTAAATCTTAATTGTGACGTGTTCTAAATTGTTAGCAATGTTTTTTTCTCTTTTGCAGATTCACATAGTCCCTTTTGAACGTTCTTTTGTTTTCTTCAAGAATTGCATATTAGTGACTGAAATTCAATTTCTATAATTTTTTGAAATATAAACCGTAATTGGTGTTTATGAAGCTCGTCCAAAATTAAGAAACTTTGCTATGGCTAGAATTCGGATATTGAAGTTCCGTGTTGTTGAAATTAGAGCCGCTATAGTTTCATATTTGGCTAGAATTCGGATAATGTATACATAAGTAAGATTTATATTTCAGTGCTTTCTGAATATTTATGTGCTATTGCTCTTGAATTATTCGTCATATGTTACATGTTTTATAATTGAACTATGCTTTCTTTTGTTTATTCAAGAATAGCTTCTTTACTTCCTCAATTATTTTCCTATTTTGTGTTTAAGATCATACCATTTACTACATCTTTGCAATCTTCAAACAGATTATTTGCTTAGAAATATACAACTTATCTTCATGGGTGGCTCAAGGGTAAGGCTAGTAAAGCCTTCGCTTTAGGCCCCAAAAAGTGTTGTAAAATACGTAATAATAGTTTGACTTAGACAATTCTGAACTTTGTAGAAAAAAGTATAAAATCCGTGTAAAAAAGGTTTTAAAAAGACAAAGAATATTTACTTTTTAACATGAGAAATATTTTAGAACTTCGAAGTAAACTACTCAAATCTTTGTATTAGCAAATAAAGTTTTTTACATCAAGATCCAAAGTAATGCATTACAAACATATGGCTAACATCTTACTAATTTGAATTAACACTTGATAATATAAATAATAATATTACTAAATGAAGCTAAAAGTCATATATCTTGTATGAATACTTTACGTTCAAAATATTTTTTTGGTTACATTTCGTTACTACAATTGTTGTTATTATTATATATAACAACAATTATTATATATAATTTTCATTTATTATATATAATAACAACAATTGTAGTAACGAAATGTGGGACCAGCGTTGCAGGGCTTCTCTCGTCTTCTTTAGCCGAGGGTCTATCAGAAATAGTCTCTCTGCCCTTCCAGGGTAGGGGTAAGGCTGCGTACATCCTACCCTCCCCAGACCCCACTTGTGGGACCACACTTGGTTGTTGTTGTTGTTGTTGTTGTTGTTATTCCATCTATTCTTCTATAATTATGTTTTTAATTTCAATTGTGAAATTGACTGCAATTGGTACAACAAATTTCAGGTGAATGATTATATCAAATACAGTACATAGATGAGAGTGAAGACTTTGAACTTAATAGGGGGAAAAAAACAGAAGTAAGCAGCTAATCAAGTAAAACTTGTTTGATGAGAATTTGGAGATAGTCTTGACTTGAGAAAAGAGAGGAAGCTTTTAAGAAGTTTATGTGAGCATAGTCTTGTCTATCGGAAACAGTCTTTCTACCTTCTAAGTAGATGTAAGATTTGCGTACACACTACCCTCCCTAGACCCCACTTGTGAGATTATACTGGATTTGTTGTTGTATGTGCTCATAGTCTTTGCTCGAGTCTGGAGCAACAAAAAACTTAAGAGGATTTTTGTGCTCAAACTGATCTAGTATTGAGAAGGATTGAGATAGATGATTGCAGTGACACTACTTGGCTAGGAAAAACTCCAAATAAACTTGTTTATGGGAATTTGAATATTGTATGGTGGCATCTGCATAATACCAATTCATCTCCAATGCGAAGCCAGAAATTTCGCAAAGGGTATTTAAAATTTAATATACACAGTTTTTCGATGAAGGGTGTTCGGTTGACCACCCTTTAATGTATGTGGCTACGCCATTGGTCATCTCTTTATTTATGTGAAACAGGGTCAGGTGGCATAGTTTCGTTCCTGATGGGATCAGAAACCTTTTTCTCGCTTTCTTTTTTCGTTTCTCATCTCCTAGAATTTTTCTTTCGCCTCTTTTTCTGATCTAACCATTGTCATCTTTGCTTCTATTTACTTGAGTTGGTTATGTCGTGCCAGAGCTTTAACATTATTTTCTTTTTTCCAGGCCACTGACAGTGACCAAAATGCAAAATCAAGGAGCATCATCTGTAAAAATTGTGATGGAAATGGTAAGTGGATTGATGCATATTTTTTGGATCTTGAATTCTATCTCGTCATTAACGATAAGGTTCCTCGGACTTCTCTCGATGAACATTCTCATGTTGTTTTGGATTTCAAGCGACTAATATTCCTTAATATTGTAGCATTAAGGCATAAGCCTTTTAAGGGGAGTATTGGCGCAACGGTAAAGTTGTCTTCGTGTGACCTATAGGTCACGGGTTCCAGTCATGGAATCAGCCACCGATGCTTGCATCAGGGTAGACGGCCTATGTCACACCCCTTTGGGGTGCGGCCCTTCCCCGAACCATGCGTGATTGCGGAATGTTTTGTGCACCGAGCTGCCCTATTGTAGTTATGCCTTTATTTTTACTGGATGTTAGTTGCATTATAGCAATGAAGATGATGTCCAGTTAGTTTTAGATGTTAACTGTTGCATCAGGTTTTATGAGTTATCGTGAGGGCAGCAATATTTTCAAGAGGAAATTTTCTACTAAATTTTAGTAAGAGAACTATTATATCTTGACAGCAACAACAACATATCCAGTGTAATCCCATAAATGGGGTCTGCGTCTTTAATATTTATTTTACCTTCTGCTTGGGATTTCTTTTTTAAAATGGTTACAATTAGTATAATTTGACTCGTGATGTTGGGAGCTCGATGTAAGAACACCCGTTTATGAACTTCTGTCAAAATTTTCATCAAAATTTATGTGAGTGTTACAATGTATCGGAGGACAAAAATATCCTACTTCAAATTTTTCTTTATGCTTCAGCGTTACTGGTTATTTGCAGAAATGCAAGGTAAGTTGCGTACAATAGACCCTTGTAGTCCGGTCCTTCCTGGACTCCACGCATAGCGGGAGCTTAGTGCACCGGGCTACCTTTTTTACATACTTAACATTTGCCTTTATGTTTCTTTTTCTTGCTTATAACCATATTTGTTTCCACGATTTATTTCACTGTCACATGTTTGATTCTTCATATATAGATATATACATATTGGTTTAAAGGGGAGCCTTGGAGAAACAGTAAAGTACGTTGTCTCTGTGTTACCTATAGATCCCGGGTTCGGGTCGTGGAAGCAGCCACTAATGCATTAGAGTAGGCTGTCTACACCACACCCCTTGGGGTGCGGCCCTTTCCCAACTTTGCGTGTACGCAAGATGCCTTGTGCACCGAGCTGCCCTTTATAGTGATTACAGAGACCTGAAATAATTCATTTCAGCTTGGATTTAGTTCAGCACTTTTTGTTTCTTAGACGCTATATTGCTCTCAGGTGCAGTGTTGTGCTCACAATGTAAAGGCATTGGTGTTAACTCCGAAGATTATTTCAGTGGGCGGTTCAAAGCTGGTGAACTGTGTTGGCTGTGCGGGTACATGCACCATCACTTATGTTTTTGGTGATTAATTATGATTTCATATTGGTTTTCAATTCGTAAGAAAGTTGAGAAAAATGCTGCAATGCCATCTCATTAATCATATCCGTTGCGTTTGCATTTTTTCCTTTCAGAGGTAAGAAAGATATGCTATGTGGCGACTGCAATGGTGCTGGATTTCTTGGTGGATTTATGAGTACGTTCGATGAGTAGACATCATATGCACTGGTCGCGATATGAAACAATAGCTAGCTATGAAACTCAATACTAACAGGCAACCATTTCCCAGAAACTTTTCAATGCTGTGGTTCAAATGCTATAAATTGCTTCTGCAAATTCCAAGTTAGGACGTTGAGTCCCTGGGGAGGGAGGTGTATGTGACACCTTAGGTGAATCGATGATGCTTGGAAATATTTACAAGAACAGCTACAATACAGTTTGTGTAATGTGCTCGAAAAGTCAATCATGGCTTTTGTACATAAGTATATACATCTTTGGGAGTCTGAATTACAAACCTCATAGTCTCTGCACCTCATCTTGACTTGGTAACACCTAGTCTACGGGGCCGAGCTAGGTGGCAGAAGCGGGTTCGGTCGAACCCCTTTTGCCGAAAATTACTCTGTATATATAAGATTTTTTTTTTCACGTATAAATATTAGGTGTTGAATTTTCTTAGCTTCTTTGCATATTTATTTTTTAATTATTTGAATCCCTTTGGTGAAAATCTTACTTCTGACACTGTTGGTCAAGGCTTCATTGGCAGCAAACAAATAGAAGAAAATAATAAAGCTGATATTAAAGCAGGTTCAAATTGATTTCTCATAGTGCAACTTCAAGCATTGAATTGATGATCACATGACAACATTCTGCTTATGTTATTGTGCCCAATTCAAAGAAGGTAGACATCTTCTCTTTGTTCACTTGCAGCCTCCCACCCTTTTTAACCCCTTCAAGGATGTTGGTTCTGGAATTCGAGTTCAAGCTGAAACACGGAAAGTTAGAGCATAATATGCTGGATTAGGGGTGGCAAAATGGTTAAAAGAAAACAGTTAACCATTCATATTATCCACTAAAAAATAGGTTGGATAATGAACTTTTTAAAAACGGATCAAATATGGATAACAACCATATTATCCATTTAGAAAATGGATAACCAATGGGTCTAACTTTTATATTTGTAAAGTGAGCTGGATTATGGAACTCTTGCGTATAAACTTCCAGTATATTGTGTTGGAACTCCTGCACATTATGTTGGAATCTCATATGCAAAAAATTCAAACTCCATGAATTTTTCGGATTTTAAGGGTGCTTTTGTTCAAATTTTAGTTTCGTTAAATGTTGTTAAATTTCATTACTTTTGAAACTGTAGCTAATTTTTAATTAGCAGTTGTAAATCAGGGCATTTCTGATTCTCCTCCCCCCCCCCCCCCCCCCGTAAATATTGGGTCATAAACCATCTGGCCAAACTCCAAATTAATTTTCATTTGTTTTTTTCTTTTATAATTTTATTTAATTATCAAATCAAACTGGTAAAAGCGTATTTTTTTTCTATTTATGGAGGTAACAATAAGTCACTGATTCACCAGAAAATTGAGCCACATTGTAATTCAGATGAGGCAAGGCATTTAATATCCTTTTACGCATAACACTCTATGGTTGTTGATCGCATCATGAAAAAGAATAATATAAATACAAAGCTTACTTTAGTGCAAAATGGACGTGACCAAATGTCACAGAAAACTATGCTCCAATAATATTCAGTTGCATCAAAGCATTTACTTGATAATCCTTAATATTAAAATTTAAATTGTATGAGTTCAACCAATATTATATTTATGAGTTTATAGGCTCAGAATTTTACACATTTATTGCTGTTTGGCTAAGCTTATTTTTAGCCAAAAGCGTTTTTTTTTTGCCAAAAGCGCTTTTGGCCTCAATTTGAGGTGTTTGACCAAGCTTCTGGAAGGAAAAAAAGTGTTTTTGAGGAGAAGCAGAAAAAAGTAGCTTCTCTCCAAAAGCACTTTTTTGAGAAGCACTTTTGAGGAAAATACACTTAGAAACGNGAATGAGCCTTATCTAGTAAACCTGCGGCTGCATGTAGTTTTCGTTATAACCAACATTTTCCAGCACTTTAATTAGAAACTCTTTCACTTTTCCCAACTTCACTTCTTTTTTTCTTCTCAAAATTGTTTCTTTGACTAAATTCAGAAAAAAAACTGAATTCATTCTCTTAATGGCAAATTCTCTGTGTTTCACACCTTTAGCTTCATTCAACTCTGTCAATAAACCAGGTAATTTCCAGTTTCTATTAATTCTTGTAATTTATTTATCCCTTTTTGCTTAATGGGTAGTTGTATTTTCTGTCAATTATGGTTTGTTAAATAAATGAAGCTGAATTTTATTGTTTTAATGGATAAAGTTAGTTACTTTAATGTGACTAAAATTGTTATAAATAAGTAAGATTCAGTAACTATTATAGTGGTTAAACTTTAGTTACTTTACCTTCTATAACAATCTCGAAGGGAGGCTTGGTGTAACTAGTAAAATTGTTGCCATGCCAAGAGGTCACGGGTTCAAGATGTGGAAACAGCTTCTTGCAGAAATGCAGGATAAGGCTGCATACAATAGACCCTTGTGGTTCGTCCCTTCCCCGGACCGTTATAGCTTAGTGCACCAGGCTGCCTTTTTTACCTTCTATAACAATCTAGTCACAAAATTATATTTTGACACTTAAAAAAGATGAATTTTATTGTTATAGTGGTTAAAGTTCGAGTACATTAATGTGGCTAAACTGTTAATGGGTAAAGTTCAATAATTGTTACAGTGGGTAATGTTTAGTTACTTCAACAACAACAGCAACAACAACAAACTGAGTATAATCTCATAAGTGGGGTCTGAGGAGGGTAGTGTGTACGCAGACCTTACCCTTACTTTGAAGGTAGAGATGTTGTTTCCGATAGACCCCCGACTCAAGGAAAGATGAAAAGAAAGTAGTAGCATTAAACAGTAACAACAACAAGATAATAAGAAAAACGAGGCGAAAGGAACAACATGTAGCAATTACTTCAGTGTAACAAAAAACTTGTATTCTTACTATTACAATGGATAAATTTCAGTGACTTTGCGCATAATTGTCATTCTTTGTGTTTGTTTATGGGTCTGCAACTGTGTTAGAATGCTAATGTGTTAGGGGGTAAAGATTCAAATTTCTATTTTGTGTGTAGTAATTGGGATTTTTATATTCTTGTCAGGTCTAAATCTGATTAATGGGAATTGCACTGGAGGAAAGATTCAATGGATCAAAGATGTTACCTACAGCTCCAAGAGTAACTTGAGAGTTGTGGAAGTGAAGGTAATTTTGGACTTCTATGTATAGATAATTGTGCAAATCTGCAATTAAATGTGCTCAATTGATATGTAATGGCTACATTATTGACTTTAATGTTTAGACACTAAGGCTAAGATCCGGTATGACTTTAGACATATATAACTCGGGCGTGGCGGCAGTACGAAGTTAGGTGGACTAAAGGTAGAGGCGGAGCCAAGATTCCAACTTTATGAATTCTGATTTTAAAACGATGATTTCAAGTGCTAATAATTGGGTTCTAAATTTGATATTTATATATATTTAATGAAAATTTTAACACAAATTCACTGTTTGAGCAAAAGCTACTGGGTTCTGCCGAACCCGTAGCCGGGCTTCTAGCTCCGCCTCTAACTGAAGGGGGTTCATGGACTTTTAGTCTTGTCTTGGGAATGGAGAGGAAGCTTTTAAGAAGTTTATGTGCTCATAGTCTTGGCTTGAAACTGGAGCAATGAAAGTTTTTAAGAAGTTTTTTGTGCTCAAACTGGTTTAGTGTTGAGAAGGAATGGGATTAGATGATTGTGGTGATACTACTTGGCTAGGAAAACCGCCAAATAGACTTGTTTGTGGAAATTTTAAAACTATGTACTCAGGGGCGATGCTAGAAGCCCAGGTATGGATACGGCCGAATCCAGTAGTTTTTGCTCAAACAATGCATTTGTGTTAAAAAAATCATTAAATATGTACAAATACTAAATTCAAAACTCATAAAGTTGTTGTCGGTCTAAATTCAGAATTCATAAAGTTGAAATTTGGCTCCGCGTCTGTTAATGTGGTGGCATCTTGCATTGTACCAATTCATCTCTTTGTTTATGGGAATGGGTCAGGCAGCATAATTTCGTTCCTGATGGAATCAGGAACCTTTTTTTCGCTTTCTTTTTTCCGTCTCTCATTTCTCATTATAGTGCGTAAAGGTGAAACTCCTAAGCTTAATGCTAGCTGTAGTTCTATTGAAACTTCGGTTTGCTCCTAGAATTTTTCTTTCACCTCTTTCTGTGATCTAACTATACCATCTTTGCTTCTATTTCCTTGAATTGGCTGTATTATGCCAGAGCTTTGACATTATTCTCTATTTTCCAGGCCACTGACAGTGATAAAGACACGAAAGTAAGGAGCATAGTCTGTCAAAATTGTGATGGAAATGGTTAGTGGATTGATGCATATTTTTTTGGATCTTGAATTCTTTCTCATTATTAACGATAAGGTTCAGTGAACTTCTCTCGACACTCTCATACTGTTTTGAGTCTCATTTGACTAATATTGCTTAATATTTTAATTTGCCTTTCTGTTTATTCAATGTTTACTGAATTGTGGCAATGAAGATGATTGTAACCGAAGCAGTACTTTCGAGAGAAATTTTGTACTCCTAGATTTTAGTAAGAGAGCTATTATATCTTTTATCAATATAATGTTTGGTTTACCTCTGCATTAGATTTCGTTTCTTAAAACAATATTTGCTTCAGATAAGAATTTAACTCTTGATGTTTAGTGATCGATGGAAAAACACCTTTGTTACGAGCTTCCATCAAATTATTCATCAAAGTTTTGTCTGAGAATTACAGCGTACTGGAATCAAAAACTTTTTTTTGTTACTGCTGCAGCCTTACTGGTTCTTTGCCGTGTTACATACTTAAATTCGCCTTTATGGTTCTTTTTCTTGCTTATACTCATTATTTGTACCCGTGATTATTTCAGAAATAGATATATACATTGATTACAGTGGCCTCAAATAATACGTTTCAACTTGGATTTAGTTCAGAACTTTCTGTTTCTTATACGCCATACTGCTCTCAGGTGCAGTGTCGTGCTCACAGTGCAAAGGCTCTGGGGTTAACTCTGTAGATCATTTCAACGGGCGGTTCAAAGCTGGTGGACTATGTTGGTTGTGCAGGTACTTGTTCTATCATTTATGCTCTTGGTGATTATGGTTTCACATTATAATTTTGTTCTTAAGCAAGTCGAATAAAAATGCTGCAACGTCGTCTGATTAATCATATCCTTCATGTTTGCACTTTTTTTCTTCAGAGGTAAAAAAGATGTGTTATGTGGTGACTGCAATGGTGCTGGATTTCTTGGTGGATTTATGAGTACGTTCGATGAGTAGACTTCATATGCACTATTCTCGGGTAGGTTCAGAGGCAGATCCAAAATGTACACTTTGATGGGTTCAATCTTTAAAAATTTTGCATTGAACTCATTGTATCTTTGAGATTATGAATTCAGAATTTAATATTTATTGAAATTTCAGTTATTTTTCACATATATAATCGTGCTCCTTGTCAAAAATACTGGATTTTAGTTCAATCCATTAAAGTTATGATCCATCCACCCCTAGGTAGGTTGTCACCATTGATCCCAAGAGAAGAGGAAAGAAGTATTTGATAAATAGACTATATTATCATTTTCCTATTCCAGTTTCACATGTTCAAGATTTCTTGAGCTTTATATTCAGAGGCGGATCTAGGATTTGAACTCTGTGAGTTCAACCTCTGATGTTCTTAGCATTGAACTTATTGTATTCTTTAACGTTTTGGGTTCATATATGCTAGTTTGCTAGTGTTTATAGTTTTGGTGGACTTTTACACTTAAATTTATGTTGAGTCGGCTCAAAAGGCTTGGCAAGTAAGGCATACCTTAAGGCCCCAATTTCGAGGGCCCCAATTTTAGAATGAATAGGTTGTGTTAATTTTTCCTTAAATATGTTTAAGCAATTATAGTAAAAATGCGTCGTTGTGAAGTTGATGTAATTGTTGAGTAATGGAAAAGTCCTCTGATAAATTAAACATATCTTTAAAATTTCCTTAAACTTATGTGACCTTCATTTTGCTTTTTTTACATTCCGTCCACTAAAACCTATAAGTATTATTTAAAAAAATTGAGATTGCTAAATGATGAAAATTTGAAGGGGAAAAAATATTGTATTAACATTTGACGATCCTTAAAGCATAATAGTCACTCTAATATTGATGACATACACTTATATTTTGAGTTAAAATTGTTAAGGGTATGAGTACAAATAAAGGATAATACTCTAATCGAAATTCATAAATACATAAAAGACTTCATAGTGCCTAACAGTTGCCTTGACGAAAAGAAGTTTTTCAAAATAAAAATACATAAGATCAACGTCTCAAGAGTGATTAATTAGTTAGCTATATTATCAATTGAAAAATAATTACTAAAAAATCGATTACAAAAATTTGGGCCTCTGATTATAGTTACGCTTTAGGCCCCCAATTATGTCAAGCCGCCCCTGAATTTATGTTCCGCGTAAAAAATATTGAGTTTAGTTGAACCCGATACTCCCATGCTGCATTCACCCATGTTTATATTGTAGAAGCTTCTCTCTGAACTAAGTGAAAAAAGCTTTGCATTAAGAAATTTTTGTTATATGAAAAAAGACCTATATTTTGGCAAAGCCTATTTGCTAATGCTAGCATTTTAAGCAATTTAGTGATTTTACAGAGGTGCATGTTCAACCCAAAACGTTCCTTAGCTCGAGTTACCCTTCAGATTATTCACTTTTGTAGGCCTAAAAAACTTAATAGGAGACAAATAATAGGGTGGAAATGACACCAAGTAGCCACTTTTAAGTATGTTGTTTAAAATATATCCGTAGTTTACAATGCATTTAAAAACTAGCCAATTTTACTCGAACTTCAGGACACGGTGTCCTAGAATTTGAACCTCAAAATTCAAACTTCAGGACATCGTGAACTAAAGTTCGAAAATTGTGTCTAGAAGTTCGAATCTTATGTCCTGAATTTAAATTAGTAGTTTGGAAATTCAAGACCTGAATTTCAAATTAGCAGCTCAAAAATTCATGACACTAAGTCCTGAATTTCCAAATTCACGATATTTAGTCCTGAAGTTTGGATGAATTAGCTAATCTTTATGTACATTGTAAATTGTGGATATATTTTAAATTGCGGGCTTAAAAGTGGCTATTGTTGCACTTCACCTACTAATAGAAGTTAATTAAAGGGAATCTTACATAAATATCCCAAATAAGTCCCAACTTACTAATCTCTAGCCATTAATCATAGACTTACCAAAACTAGTCAAGCACATATAAAAATTAAAAAACCAAATAAATAAGGTTCTTTGTTTCAAAGAATCACATGCAAAAATCTCCTTCCATATTTTTAAGCGTGATTAGCAACATTAGATGCTAGACGGAAAAGAAATTTTATAGATGAGGTAGCAAATAAGATGATGAAATATTTAAAAAAAAAATACAATATTCCAAAAATCTAAAAAAAGAAAAAAAGAACTTTTTCAATGGTATAGTTGAAATTCATTGAAAACATATAGATAAGTCAATATACAAAAATTGAGGAAGATTGGAGGTAATTTGGACTGCTTTTGTATCAACATTCGTAATTAAATCGAGTTCAAAAAATTCTTCTGTGACACATGTATCAAACATGTATCACGCATGTATCTCACACACAGATATATATTGATATATATATGTAATACACAATTGATACAAGTATGATACATATCTGATACACATATAAATTTTTTTCATGTTAAGTTTTTACTTCGAATTTTTAATTCAAACCACCTCAAAACTTCACCAAATCATCACAAAACTTAGATTCAAGCTCCTTAAGATGTACCAAATCTATTCTAATAACACCCACTCAAAATAAAGCAAAAAATTTGGCCTTGTTTTTTTAATACAAATAGCTAATTGGCTAATATTAGTAATATTCTATGAATTAGCCAATTTTTGTAATGAGCTACATATAAATGGACATAATTGATAGTTTTCCTGCTTAAAATAGCTAATAGGAGGCAAATAATAGGGTGCAAATGACACCAGGTAGCCACTTTTAAACATGTAGTGTATTTAAAGATTAGTCAGTTTTACTCGAACTTCAGGACACGACGTCCTAGAATTTGAACCACAAAATTCAAACTTTCAGGACATCGTGAACTAAAGTTCTAAAATTGTGTCTAGAAGTTCGAATCTTACGTCTTGAATTTAAATTAGTAATTCGAAAATTCAGGACACATAGTTCTGAATTTTAAATTAGCAGCTAAAAAATTCATGACACTAAGTCCTGAATTTCCATATTCATGATACTTAGTCCTGAAGTTTGGGTGAATTAGTTAATCTTAAAGTACATTGTAAATTGTGGATATATTTTAAATTGCAGGCTTAAAGTGGCTATTGTTGCACTTCGCCTACTAATAGGAGTTAATTAAAGGGAATCTTACATAAATATTCCAAATAAGTCCCAACATACTAATCTCTAGCCATTAATCATAGACTTACCAAAATTAGCCAAGCACATATAAAAAGTGAAAACCTAAATAAATAAAATTCTTTCTCTCCAAGAATCACACGTAAAGGTCTCCTTCTATATTTCTAAGCGTGATTAGCAACATTAGATGCAAGATGAAAAAGAAATTCAATGGATGAGGTAGTAAATAAGGTGATGATATATATATATATATATATATATATATATATATATATATATATATATATATATATATATATATATATATATATATATATATATATATATATACGATTCCAAAAATTTAAGCAAAAATGGATCTTTTTCATTGGGTATGGTTGAAATTCATTGAAAACATATAGAGTCATGCAAAATTTGAGAAAGATTGGAGGTGATTTGACTGATTTGGTATCAAAATTCGTAGTTAAAATCGAGTTCAAAAAATTCTTCTGCGCCGCATGTATCTCACACACAGGTATACACAGACATACATGTGATACACATTTGATACAAATATGATATATATGTGACACACAAATGATACACGGCGTGATCACATATTTATTTTTTCATGTTCATCTTCTACTTCGAATTTTCAATTCAAGCTACTTCCATTAAATTATCCCAAAACTGAGATTCAAGCTCCTTTAGATTTACTCAATCTATTCTAATAATTCCCACTCAAAAGAAAGTAAAATTTTGACCTTTTCTTTATACAAATAACTAATTGGCTAATATTGATAATAGTTGGCTAATATTGGTAATATTTTTTGAACTGAATAATTTTTATAATAAGCTACTTGTAAATGAACATAACTGATAGTTTCCCTTAATTAAACTGCAGAAGCGGCCTTTGATAGAATGTCTATTCAAACTTTAAAAGTAAACCAAGCCATTAAATTTTGCTTGTTTTATTAAGCAGAATAATTCTCAAAATAATCTTAAAAGGGATCCTAAGAAGTAATGAATAAGGATTATGCAATTTTTTTTTATTTACTATTGAAATATGATTAACTCTCTTATTTAAATATAATAGGCATTAATTTGCGAGTTATATTCTGAGTCTTTTTATAACTTTGTAAAAATGAAGTGAATATTTGGTACCAATTCTATTTAGTGGCTTTATATGTTAAAAGTAAGTGACTGTTATAAAATAAAGACTGTAAAGTAAAGACAACTATAGAGAGAAATTGATATATTATTTGAATTCAAACTAATGTACATAATGAACTGAAATCTCTTCTATTTATAGAAGAAAGGAAGCTGTTGTATAAGCTGCTACTATACCAGATATGGATAATCTTCTATTGAGAGCAATGTTTATCCACAACGGAGTACTGAAAGGATAAGCTTATTATATCCGATATGGATAATCTTCTACCGGGGGTAATATTTATCCATAACCGGGTACTGAAAGGATAAGCTTATTATACCCGGTATGGATAATCTTCTACCGGGGATAATGTTTATCCATAACTGGGTACTGAAAGGATAAGCTTATTATAC